CAGGGGTTAAGTGGGACGAGAACCTTGCAAAGAGGAGAAAGAACGATTAAAGTTGCAAATGGAGTGCAAGCCAATGTTGAAGCCATTGGAGATTTTTCTTTAGAATTGAATAATGGTTTTGTACTTAGACTTAAAGAAGTACTTTATGTTCCCTCTTTACGTAGAAATTTGATAAGTGTTTCGAAACTTGATGATGATGGAATTGATTGTCATTTTGGTGATGGCAAGTGTAAGATACTGGTTAATAATAAATGTGTTGGTCTTGCCTTCCAACAAGACAAGCTTTATTTATTATCTCTTGCTGAGAATGCGAACAATGTATGTGATGAGAATGTGAATGATTCCCCATCTACGGATGTAACTAAGAAGCGGAAGAGAATTGATATTGTCTCTTCGAAATTATGGCATTGTCGTTTGGGCCATATTTCGAGGGGGAGAATAGAACGATTGGTTAAGGAATCAATTCTCCCACACTTAGAATTTTCAGATTTAGAACAATGTATTGATTGCATCAAAGGAAAGTATGTCAAGAAAATTAAGAAAGATGCCAAACGAAGCACAGAAATTTTAGAAATAATCCACACAGATATATGTGGTCCTTTTTCTATGAAAAGTGTGGATGGTTATGACTCGTTTATAACATTCACAGACGACTACTCTCGTTATGACAATATTTATCCAATTAAAGAAAGATCGGAAGCATTGGATAAATTCAAAATATTTAAAGCTGAAGTTGAAAAACAGCACAATAAGAAAATCAAGATAGTACGATCAGACCGAGGTGGAGAGTACTATAGGCGACATACCCCTTATGGCCAAATTCCTGGACCATTTGCAAGGTTCCTACAGGAAAATGGCATAGTTGCTCAGTACTCCACACCGGGGGAGCCTCAGCAGAATGGAATAGCTGAAAGACGTAACCGTACCTTAATGGATATGGTAAGAAGCATGATGAGTTACTCCACATTACCGATTAGTTTATGGATGGAGGCACTGAAAAACGCCATTCACATACTTAATCAAGTACCAAGTAAATCGGTGCCTAAAACACTGTATGAATTATGGACAGGAAGGAAACCCTCACTTAACCATTTGCGTGTGTGGGGCTGTCCGGCTGAGGCAAAAGTGTTTAACCCAAATATAGGAAAGTTAGACTCCAAGACAGTCAGCTGCCATTTTATTGGCTATCCAGAAAGATCGAAAGGATATCGCTTCTATTGTCCTGATAGACATACGAAGATTGTAGAAACAAGACACGCTGTGTTCTTGGAGGATAACATGATCGGGGAGCATGGTAACACGAGAAATCAGCTTTACAGGAGAAGCGGGTACATGTACCCACTCCGATGGTTGAAGAACCATTCTTCACGCCGTCTTGCATTGCAAGGTAATCGGACAAAGGCAGACACTTTGTAGTGCCAACACCTATTGCAAGTTCTCCCGTGGCGACAATGAATGAACATGAGGAACCTGTCCTTGAGGAACCTATCCTTGAGGAACCTATAGAACCAAATGTTGCACATGAGGAAGAACAACAACAGCCAAATGTGGAACAAGTGCCGGAGGCACCTAGAAGGTCTCAAAGAATAAGAAGATCAGCTATTACTGATGACTATGAAGTTTATGAAACAAAAGAATATCAGATGAGGGATGATCCCACCTCATTTGAAGAAGCCATGAGAAGCGACCACTCATCAAAGTGGCTTAAGGCCATGGAAGATGAATTGAAATCAATGAGTACCAATAAAGTTTGGGACTTAGAAAATATTCCTAAAGGAGCCAAAACAGTAGGCTGTAAATGGGTCTACAAAATGAAATATGACTCCCAAGGGAATATAGAAAGATTTAAAGCGCGACTTGTGGCGAAAGGCTTCACGCAAAGAGAATGGATTGATTACAATGAGATGTTTTCTCTAGTCTCATGTAAAGATTCCTTTAGAATTATAATGGCACTTGTAGCCCACTATGATTTGGAGTTGCATCAAATGGATGTAAAGACGGCTTTCCTAAACGGGGATTTGGAAGAAAATATTTATATGGCACAACCGAAAGGTTTTGTCGTAAAAGGAAAGGAAAATATGGGATGTCTTTCAAGAAATCAATCTACTTGATTGAAGCAAGTTTCAAGACAAGTGGTATTTGAAGTTTGATAGAACGATAAAAGGTTTTGGGTTTGAAGAAAATGTTGAGGACAATTGCGTTTATGCAAAGTTCAGGAATGGAAAGTACATATTCCTAATTTTGTATGTGGATGATATCTTGCTTGCTAGTAGTGATATCAATCTGCTAATGGAAACGAAGAAATTCTTGTCCTCAAACTTTGATATGAAAGATCTCGGTGAGGCCTCGTTCGTTTTGGGAATAGAGATTCACCAAGACAGAGAGAAAAGGGTTCTAGGATTATCGCAAAAGGCATACATAGAAAAGGTCCCAAGAAATTTAGTATGCATGCATGCAGTTCTTCACCGCTCCTATAGTCAAAGGCTTATAGATTTGGGAAACATCGGTGTCCCAAGAACCAATATAAAATTGACCGAATGAAAGCGGTACCGTATGCTTCAGTTGTTGGAAGTTTACAATATGCTCAAGTGTGTACACACCCTGACTTAGCTTTTGTTACCAGGTTACTTGGTAGATATCAAAAGAATCCAGGAATTGAACATTGGAAATTAGTGAAGAAAGTCCTGCGTTATTTGCAGGGTACGAAAGGCCTCATGCTTACGTATAGAAGATCTGACTCCCTACAGATAGAGGGGTATTCAGATTCTGATTATGCGGGAGATGAAAGAAAATCCACGTCAGGATATGTATTTACTCTCGCAGGAGGGGCTATATCGTGGAAAAGCTCCAAACAAACCGTAACTACATCCTCGACAATGAATGCCGAGTTTGTAGCATGCTATGAGGCAACGGGGCAGGTGAATTGGCTGAAGAAATTCATACCCGGATTGAAAGTGATTGATGATATAAATGAACCACTGAGATTGTATTGTGATAACAATCCAGCGGTACAGTATGCTCATAACAATAGGTCAAGTGGTGCTGCCAAACATATTGACATAAAGTACTATGTTGTGAAAGATAAAGTTCGAGATCATATAATAAATCTTGAGCATATAAGTATAGAGAAAATGCTCGCGGATCTGCTCACAAAGGGCTTACCACCCAACGTGTTCAGAGAACACGTAGCCGGCATGGATTTAAGGGAAAGCCTATGATTCCCGAACATACGAAGGGCCCAAAGAAAGTTTACATTTCAAAACGGAGAAGTATATTGTGGCTGTTAGTCCAACGACACTAATTGCTGTGACGATGAGACAGTTCTATGCACTAATCTGTGATGAAATAGGATGGAATTAAGAAAAATATGAATTGAAAGTTTTGAGTACGAAATTAAAGAACGAAGAATAGATGAGAGATCAAGGGAGAGAATGTTAGGTTTGATCTCCCACGCCATTAGGCCCAACGGCCTTTAGGCCTTGTTCTCGCGCCCTGATCGGGGGCACCCAACCCTACATGGTTGGTGGGCCCCCGTCGCACAGTGCTATAAAGAAAAGGTGGGGGCCGGGGCTCGTAGTAAGAGGTTCACCGCGCCGCCAGCCACCCCACCGACATCCCAACCCTAGACCCGATCTTGAGAAGGCGCCGCCGCCGGAAGGAAGCACCAACCGACGCCAAGAACGCCACCCGACGCACACGTCGCCGCCGAGGACGCCACAGTACCGACTCTCTCTCCATCGAACGTCACCGCTGCGGCTGCAGATGGCGTCCGTCAACGAAACCCCGGCCGGAGCTTCGACGACTACGGCTTTTGATGGTTTGCAACCTATCACCCCTTCCTCTCTGTCTCTCTGAGATCCCGAACACCTATTCCTACTACCAATACATCCCGATCCGATGAACATGACTAAAAATGAACTCTAACAAGTATCACTAATGGATATGAGGGGACGAACCTGCATTGCTGTGACGAACTCGGCGAATCCGAGGTACCCCTACCGCTTGGAATCCGCGATCGCCCATACCTTCGCAGCAAATCCCAAACAGGAAATATCATAAGCCATTCACAATCAACGGTATCACCATGCCGGGAGAGGAACAGAGAGAGACCAGCGCCCGTGCTCACCTGCTTGAGATCGGCGCGTGAGAGCGCGGACATGCCGAAGAAGAAAGGTGGCGTGGCACGCCAGGACGATGATCGTCGCCATCTGCAATGAGCGCCCACGCCGGAGCATTAAGCACCAAACCTCGCGGATTTTTGGTGGCGGCACGGGAACGAGGAGGCAGGAGCGCCTTACCTAGGTCGGTGACGGCGAACCACTCGGCGAGATCCTCTGGTGCTCCTTGAGCAAAGCGACGCCAGCCAGCGCTCGCGTGATCTCCATCTCCGTCCCCTCTCGCCGCCCGCCCAGGTGCTAGCTGCCGCCGCCACAGAGATGAGCAGGAGCAAGCTGCAGCAGCACAGATGAGAGAGACAGGAGGAGCCTGATGGGCTGCCTCGCACTCTCGCTTGGCTTTCCTCTCGCTTATGCGTTGGACGGGTGGCATTTTGAAACGGAGGACCCCACTTCACGGAGACGCCTCCCGAGATTTCTTTTTTTTTTTATTTAAAAAATAGGGCTGGACGCTCCCCGATGCCCATGGCCCTGATGATGACCGATAGGCAAATAGGGATGGCATTTGGGAGGACCTGAATTCAAACTTGAAAAATCTCAAACGTAAAGAGGAAAAGACATGGGGCTGATATCTGGCCAGATGGGCCGACGGACCATGGATCATTCCCAAATCTGTGAGGAGCCCACCAGGCCGTCACCAGTCAGACTCGACGCTACCAGTCTACCAGCTTCCAGGCTGTCGTGGGCTTGTGGCGCAGCGGCAGACGGACGCCAGGATTTCCATTAAAAAACCTCGGCCGAAACCTCAAAACCCTACTCCCGTCTCCTCTCAGATCTCTTCCCCTCCCTCACACTTGAAGCCCTAGCTCCGCCCAGCCCCCAACCATGGCGTCGATGATGGTAAGCGCCGCCTCCACGGAGCCCTAACCCCCAATCAGCTGGCGCCTCCGCCCTCGCACGCAAGCTCCGATTCGCTGATCCTGATGGCCGTGCTGACGCTTTCGTTGGTGTTCCGCAGCAACCGCAGATCATCCTGCTCAAGGAGGGCACGGACACGTCACAGGGGCGCGCGCAGGTGGTGAGCAACATCAACGCGTGCACGGCGGTGGGCGACACCGTGCGGACCACGCTGGGGCCCCGGGGGATGGACAAGCTCATCCACGACGACAAGGGCGGAGTCACCATCTCCAACGACGGCGCCACCATCATGCGCCTTCTCGACATCGTGCACCCCGCCGCCAAGATCCTTGTCGACATCGCCAAGTCACAGGACTCCGAGGTATCCATCTAGATACAAATCTTTACCTGGAGCTCTGGAAACCTGCCTCATTGCGATCTATTAGATTTTGCATTACTTTGGCTATTTTAGTTGCCACTGTGGGCTGACAGTTAAGAAAATAAGAACCCTTATCAATTAATCCTAAACCATTTCGTGACATTTAATCTTAGTGAAGTAGGATCGGTTTGTTAAGGTGTGATAGGCACACGATTTTGGTGGAATGGCTTATAAATTCATAGTTTAGTCATGGATGGTCTGCGCGGTTGAGGCATAAGCCAAGGAATTGCAATTTGAATAGTGGGAATGATGACAGGCCAAATCCATTGCTAGCCAACCCACAGATCTCTTCTGTTGGGACTAAGATATGTCGAGTGTTATCTACAGGCATTTGGCTCAATGCAATGGTGTCTTTGAGATTTTGTGCCACGACATTTTTGTTGTATTTTTTATTTTCTTATTATTTGTTTCATTTCTTTTCTTTTCACCGGCTTTTAAGAGCTTTGTCGCTTCACTTTGAGTTGTACAAACCTACGTTAAACGAATGAATTTGACATTCACAGAAGTTTCTTATTTTCTGTTTTAATCTTTCTTGCAGTTTTTATTTGCAAGTATCAAATTTTATGTATCACAACAATTGAGTTTACCTCTAGTTCTGTGTTCCTTTTATACAGCGATGATGCTGTATAATTGACTTGCAGTTTTGGCTTCCGTTTTTTTTTCTCTGGATTTATGTTTGTTGGACTATGGAACTTGGGACATGCATGTTAAGCTCAACCTTAAATTTCCTACTCAGGTTGGTGATGGGACAACTACTGTGGTGCTTCTAGCTTCAGAATTCTTGAAGGAAGCAAAACCTTATATTGAGGATGGGGTGCACCCCCACAGTCTAATTCGCAGTTATAGAACTGCAGGCAATATGGTCTGTAACTACCATCTTCTTTTTTTAACAGCCAACCTTTTGATTCTCTGCAACTATTTTCTGAAGTTCATTATTCATTAACATGAATTCTGTCAGGCAATTCAAAGGGTTAAAGAGCTGGCAGTTAGCATTGAAGGAAAAAGCCTTGAAGAGAAGAAAACATTGCTAGCCAAGTGTGCTGCTACAACACTCTCTTCAAAACTTATAGGCGGTGAAAAGGAATTCTTTGCTTCTATGGTTGTGGATGCTGTCCTTGCCATTGGCAATGATGACAGGCTTAATCTTATCGGGATTAAGAAGGTAATTATTGCAATGTTCACTTCCAAGATGTTGTTCTGGGTTGAAAAGTCTTAAGATATTAGCTCTTGATATCATTTTGATTTGACTTTGGAACTGATATTAAGGATTGATTACTGGGAATCAAGTAAACAAATATTTTCATCTAGAAGGGTTGTACCATTCTATATGTTTTAAGCTGTTGAAGGGACATACTTGGGATTCAGGAGCTATAAGATAAACCATTTTTGCCTAAAGAAAATAAGCTAGCCGTTTAGTTATCGATTTTGTTCCACAAGGCTCCCAGGGTTGATCCATAAAACAAAGCTTTTAGTATGCAGAATGTAAGGAATTCGTTTAAGGGGAAAAAAACTATGCTAGGATATATGTTAAAAATTTAATGATGAACCCAGCACCGATTGCCATTAAGTTTTAATAGCTCTGATGCTTTTCATTGCTTTATTTTCCCTTCGATTATAGGATTTTCATACTAGGAATGCCATGTAATATAGTATACATTTGATTTTTCACTATAAGACATTAACACCTGATATTTTGATGTATCTTAGGTTCCTGGAGGTACCATGAGAGATTCTTTTCTGGTGAATGGTGTTGCGTTCAAGAAGACATTTTCGTATGCTGGATTTGAGCAACAACCAAAGAAGTTCCTGAATCCGAAGATTCTTTTGTTAAACATTGAACTAGAATTGAAATCTGAGAAGGAAAATGCAGAGATCAGGTATCCATACTGATTCACTCAAGCCCCACCTGCTACAGAACAGAATGTGTGCTCCATTCTTTACTTATGTTTATGCTTTTCAATGTTTGCTTATGCTGGCTCTATGTTTCCAACATACCTGTAGGTTATCTGACCCTCTGCAATACCAATCAATTGTTGATGCTGAATGGAACATTATTTATGACAAACTGGATAAATGTGTGAAAAGTGGAGCGAAGATAGTTCTGTCTCGGCTAGCTATTGGTGATCTTGCAACACAGGTAGCCTGATGTTTGTATTTATCCAAATAACCTTCTGCTCTTCTGTAATGTACTTCTGCAGCCAATCTCAGATAATTTGGGTCTATACAGTATTTCGCAGATCGAGACATTTTCTGCGCCGGTCGTGTCACAGAAGAAGATTTGCAACGTGTTGCTGCAGCAACTGGTGGAACTGTTCAAACTTCTGTAAATAATGTCATCGATGAGGTAAGCATGACATTTTTTATTTGCTTGTGATCTGTTGAATTGTCTTTTTTGATGTATCGTTGACTGGAAATTTAGGGTTAATGTCAGCTACCTGGTGCTGAGTGCAAGCTCATTTCTTTCTCTTTTTTTTTCTTTTGTAAAGGTACTTGGTTCCTGTGAGGTCTTCGAGGAAAAGCAAGTAGGCAATGAAAGGTTCAACATATTTAGTGGCTGCCCTTCTGGTCAGACAGCGACTATTGTGCTCCGTGGTGGTGCAGACCAGGTCTTCTATTGATACACTTCTGTTAGCCATCATCTGTTTTTAACAACATGTTATGAATGTCCTTACATTTCTTTTTTTTTCTGTGCTAGTTCATTGAGGAAGCTGAACGGAGTCTCCATGATGCCATCATGATTGTGAGGAGAGCACTTAAGAACTCGACAGTTGTGCCGGGTGGTGGTGCTATTGATGTATGTCTGGTGGTCAACATGTCAACATGAATGATTCAGCAGTTCATAGAATTTTATGCTGATTTTTTATGTTTTGTGTAGATGGAAATAAGCAAGTATCTCAGGCAGCATGCGCGGACAATTGCTGGGAAGTCTCAGTTCTTTGTAAATTCGTTTGCTAAAGCCCTCGAGGTACAATATTCCTGGTCCATACTTTTCCTTACTGGATTCAGGATTGTGTTTTTGAAGGGCGGGCCTGGTGCAAGCGGTAGAGTCTTACCGCCTGTGACCGGAAGGTCCCGGGTTCGAGTCGCGGTCTCCTCGCATTGCACAGGCGAGGGTAAGGCTTGCCACTGACACCCTTCCCCAGACCCTGCACAGAGCGGGAGCTCTCTGCACTGGGTACGCCCTTTTTATTCAGGATTGTGCTTTTATTTATGCACTGCACTCAAAGCTTTCCACTAACTTCTTAAGGATACAATAAATGTGCTGCTGCTGGTTTTAAGTTGTATTTAATGTTCTGTCAAAAAGGGCTATATTGTTGATCAACTATTTGTTTCTGATCACTTACATGTTACGTCTTATATGTGCAACGTTGTATCCACTCATTTAGCCATTTTCAATAAAATCATCCTGCAGGTTATTCCACGTCAACTTTGTGATAATGCTGGATTTGACGCTACTGATGTTCTCAATAAGCTCAGGCAGAAACACGCATCCGGTTGGTTTTCTTAAGTTTTATTTTGAACTTAGTCTACACTTTTATTCATGATAGTACAGTTGTGAAGCAGAAAGCTATCTATTTTACTGATGCGTGATTCATGGCTAATTTGTTCAGGTGAAGGTGCTAATTATGGTGTAGACATAAACACTGGCGGAATTGCTGATTCCTTTGCGAACTTTGTGTGGGAACCTGCTGTTGTAAAGGTAATTTCGCATTTGGTTTCATTCATTTGAGGGTATCCATGTATCTTAAGTTCACATGGTGATGTCTTGAGAACTTTTTTGTTCAGATCAATGCTATAAATGCTGCAACCGAAGCTTCCTGCCTTATTCTTAGTGTTGACGAAACAGTGAAAAACCCAAAGGTAAGGAGGCATGCAAATGTCTAGGGTCCATTATAGTAAAAAACAATGCCTTTACTCTTTTTTTGTTTCATGAGTGGAGTTTAGACTCATTTTCTTGTGGCAAATCCTCTTCCCTCCATAATGATATATTGTTAGGCCATCTCTTATGTCCTATTTAATCCAATCTATCTCCTCTAAAGTTCCGAATCACTATACAAAAAATGATCATAGAAATAGTGTAGTAGATTCGGTACTTGAAAGAACATTTCTTTCTTTCTTTTTGTTCTTTTGCATTTTTAGAGATTGGTTTGACTGTCAAGGAGGCAAAGGACTCCACATTGCCACTTCAAATTGCACATGTTCAAACCATAGGTTGATGAAGACCATAGCATTTCTCCTAACTTAAGGCTTTGTGACTTTGAATTATACGGTCACTAAGTTCTTATTAGATATTTTGGATGTTCCTTGCAAACAATTTGTTTTGTTTAAAGCAATTGATTCTTCACATGAACTAATTGCCATATTTCCTTTCCTCAAATTGTGGGATACTCTAGTCGGAGAGCGCACAAGGTGAGGCTGCAGCTGGTGCAATGGCTGGTCGTGGTGGAGGGGCAATGCGAGGACGTGGTGGCAGGGGCATGCGCAGGCGATGAACTGAGCCACGTTGATCCTGTAACATTATGTTTTGATCACCATTGTGGATCAGATTCTTTTTTTGCCTCTTTGCGCGGTGCTGTTGTGTCGTACTGCACATGTAATGTGAGGTTATGGACACGCACTTATTATTGTGTGCTTTTGGTTGGGAAGCAGTAGCAGCCTTTTTGTTTCAGAGATACACCAGGCGTTTATCATTGTAGCTTTCCTGTTGTGGTATAGTAGTAGGGAGACCTGAGCCTTTGGTTACAATTTGTTTGGCCCGGATCTTAGTATATTGGCTTTGTTGTTTCATCGTGAGAATGGAATGATCGTTTGTGATCCTCGTGCGCTCAATCGTAAAGCATTAAACAGGTGCTTGTACGTTTGTAACCCGAGATGCTGTTTGCTCACACCAATGAGTGGCTCGAGAGCAATTTTTTTCAGGAATGGGCGTGTTACAGTGCTAATGACGCCAATTCTCTGCTACTAAGGGCATATTTTATACATATGGCTATTACCAGTTGGGTAAAGATTAGGTCAAATTAGCTATGGCTGGATAACTAGTAGGCTGAACTAGTTTGAGACTTGGCTAACTAGTCCACCTATTAACCATCTTGTTTGGATAGCCCATCTATTAACCATCTTGTTTGGATGCACTAAAGCTAATTTGAGCTAAAATTATCTAGTTAACAATTAGCCTATGATATCCAAATATGTCCTTTTTAGTTTTTGTTTGCTTATTATAGGCCATTAGCAACAGTGCCAATTACTCTACCACTTGCCTGTGTGTTGCTAAGGGAAGGTTAAAATTTTCAACGCAACAATGGTATGATAAAACAACTAGAAGGTCAAAATCAACATACAAATAATAGAACCTCCCCATCTCAGAAGTGCAGAATTTAGCCCACCTTCGCAACCAGGCTCACCTACAGTAAAGGTATTGGTTCGATCAATATTTAATACCTCAATCAATAAAGAACCAAACAAATGACACTAAAATCAAATAATTTAGCTCCAAGAATGACTCGAACCAGGGTGTCACAGACTTGTTGAAAGTGAATAAAAATGAACAAGATTTGGGAACAACTAAACTGCTTTCATTGATTTCTTAGATATATATACAAAGTGAAGGGGTGTGTCCGTACGGACACAACCGTTAGTGTCCAAAGGACATGTCCCTTTAATGACAATGGTTAACTGTCTATACTAATCCTAACTACCTCTATCAGTGGATGAGATCATCCCTGTGAAACGATGTCGTTTGGATGGATGTGTCCCTTCGTCCATTCGGCCAGGGGGTGACGTTTCACAAGAAGACTCACACCAGCAATATGACTCGATGTACATGATACCCACGTCATACAGATAGTATATAAAAATTCATTTGCTAAATTTAGCCTACCTTCGCAACCAATTAAATAGTCCACGTCAAACTTGATATGCTTTAACTCTCCCACCATCGTGTCATCTTTTTATCCAGTTTTTTTTTCGTGTTTTTTTTGTGAAGCCCATTCCAGTCCAGGCTCCAGGCCAATCGCTAGCTCTAGTTTTTGCCGGCCGCCGCTACCCACGCACGGGCATGGCGCAGCGCGCACGACGCACCACACGAGCTGACGAGCGCACAGCCACTCTAGCAAGATTGCGAGACTGTGACGTCATCGGATGCCGCGGCGTACGGCGGCCTCGGGCGCTTCCTGCGGCGTCGAGAAGCTGCGGCGCTACGGAGCGGGAGTGCGGGGTTCCCCATTCGCGGGCTCGGCGTCCGGGGCTCCGGGCAGCCGGCGAGAGCAGCTAGCGACCGTGAGCGACGCGACCTGACTTCGCCTGAGGTGTGTTCTTCCCCGCACGTTCCATCCTCATTTGGGACCCGACGTTCCTGCTCGTGGTTGCGAGTCACGTTCCATCGTCTATCAGGACGGCGTCCCGCCATGTTCCTGTTCCGCGAATCGGAACCAAGTGAGCACGTTCCCGTTCCCCGGCTGCTAAGCGCCCATCGCCTTCCCGATCCCGACCTCCCGTGCCAGCCAGCAAGGGCGGCGGCGGCCTGCTGCCTGCCTGCCTGGAAGGGCGGCGGCCAGCCTGCCTGCCAGCCAGCAAGGGCGGCGGCGGGGTGGCGGCGGCTTGCTGCCTGCCTGCCAGCCAGCAAGGGCGGCGCGGCCTGCTGCCTGCCTGCCTGCTTGGTACGGGATATTCTTTCTTTATACTTATATAAAGCACCATGTCAACGCTCGACGAAGTCGTCGTCCTCTTCGGTTCACTCGTAGCAACTGTTGCCTCCATATAAGCACCATGTCTATACGGCCGGGTTGCCTATCTAATAAAGGCTGCTTGCTGTCTGCAAACATTATACAATCACCATGGTGGTGCTCCTCATCAAGCCTCTCTTGAGCATGCTCGCCTTCTTCCACATTTGCCTTGCCACATTCGTGGCACAGACATCACTGGCAGCTCATGGAGCAATCGCCCCCCACATCGCCGACTCCGACCAGCTCGCGCTCATGTCATTCAAGTCACTCGTGACGAGTGACCCATCGGGAGCCCTAGCTTCGTGGGGCAACATGTCCATTCCCATGTGCTGGTGGCGCGGCGTGGCGTGCGGCTTGAGGGGACACCGCCGGGGCCATGTGGTGGCTCTGGACCTCCCCGAGCTCAACCTGACTGGCACCATCACCCCTGCGCTGGGAAACCTCACTTTCTTGAGGCGACTCAATCTTTCATCGAATGGCTTCCAAGGGATCTTGCCTCCAGAGCTCGGTAACATCCATGACCTTGAGACTCTACAACTTACCTACAACTCCCTCTCTGGCCAGATTCCACCGTCACTTTCAAACTGTAGCCACCTGATAGAGATTTCCCTCGGCGACAACAATTTACATGGGGGAGTACCCAGTGAGTTAGGCTCTTTGCGCAACTTGCAGGTACTCAGTCTTGGCAAAAATTGGCTTACAGGAACCATCCCTTCTTGGTTAGGCAACCTCTCTTCATTAGTATTCCTAGATCTTCAGCAAAATGGTCTAGTTGGTCAGATCCCAGAATCATTAGGAAATCTTGAGATGCTTACAATACTTTCTCTCTCAGGAAACAATCTTTCAGGTCCCATACCTAGTTCGCTTGGCAACCTCTATGCCCTCACTGGACTTGGTCTAGCGAATAATAAGCTGGAAGGCCCTTTGCCCCCTTTAATGTTCAATAATCTTTCCTCCCTCGAATTTCTATATATAGAATACAACAACTTGAATGGGACTCTTCCACCTAATATTGGAAACAACCTTCCGAAATTAAACTATTTTCTTGTATCAGACAATGAATTTCATGGCATGCTCCCGTCATCCCTTTGCAACGCCTCCATGCTTCAAGCTATTCAAACACTAGAAAACTCCCTATCGGGAACGATTCCAGAATGCTTAGGAGCTAAACAAACGAGCCTGTCCTCAGTGTTAATTGGAGGAAATCAGTTTGAAGCAACAAACGATGCTGATTGGAGCTTTGTGGCTAGTCTGACCAATTGTAGCAACTTAGTTGAACTAGATGTTAGCTCGAATAATCTCCATGGCGTGCTGCCAAATTCAATCGGTAATCTCTCAACACATCTATACTATCTCAGCATTGCAAAAAACAATATAACTGGAACAATAACAGAAGGAATCGGTAACCTCGTCAACTTACAAACACTTGACATGCCTCATAACTTTCTCATAGGTGCTATTCCAGCATCTCTCGGCAACCTTAATAAGTTATCCGAATTATTTCTGTACAATAATGCTTTGTCTGGACCCTTGCCGGTAACTCTTGGCAATCTTACACAACTAACTAGACTTCTCCTCAGTACAAATGCTATAAGTGGACCTATACCATCTAGTCTCAGCCATTGTCCTTTAGAAGTATTGGATCTTTCTCACAACAATCTTTCTGGTCCGACACCTAAAGAACTCTTTTCCATACCAACCTTGTCGATCTTAATCACTGGGAATGATGGTCTTTGTGGTGGTATCCTCAACTGGGATTGCCACCTTGCCCCACCCAGACAACCAAGAAACGACATCGAAAACTTGTCATAACAGTCTCCGTGTGCAGTGCACTTGCCTGCGTCACATTAGTATTTGCATTGTTTGCACTCCGACAAAGGAGCCGACAGAAGACAAAAGCACACCTACAAAGGTCGGTCTTGAGTGAGCAATATATGAGGGTTTCTTATGCCGAATTGGCTAATGCAACAAGTGGTTTTGCATCCGAGAACCTCATAGGAGCTGGGAGCTTTGGGTCAGTTTACAAAGGAACAATGAGAAGCAACGACCAGCAAAGAGTGATCGCTGTTAAGGTTCTCAACCTCATGCAGCGTGGTGCATCTCAAAGTTTTGTTGCAGAATGCGAGACTTTAAGATATGCTCGACATCGGAACCTTGTAAAGATATTGACTATCTGTTCAAGCATTGATTTTAAGGGCCATGACTTCAAGGCCCTCGTGTATGAGTTTCTACCGAATGGAAATTTGGACCAATGGGTGCACAAACATATCATCGAAGATGGTGAACCAAAGGCACTAGATCTGACTACAAGATTAAATGTTGGAATTGACGTGGCGTCCTCACTTGATTACCTTCACCAACATAAGCCAACGCCAATTATTCACTGTGATCTTAAACCAAGTAATGTTCTCCTGGACAGTTCCTTGGTTGCTCGTGTGGGTGATTTTGGGCTTGCGAGGTTTCTACATCAAGATATAGGTACATCAAGTGGATGGGCATCAATGAGAGGATCAATTGGATATGCAGCTCCAGGTACCTTTCATTTGCTCTGTATAAATGTACTCCACCATGTTGGCTTCAATCAAAGCTCAAGCCTTTCTTGGTGTTGAGCTTTTTACGAAATTTGAAAATCTTATATCCGTGGAATTACAAGAAACTAATTTAATACACACATGTTACTTTATCAAATTAAAAGAAAATCTCATTTTGGTTTTTTTCAGAGTATGGACTGGGCAATGAAGTATCTACCCAGGGTGATGTCTACGGCTATGGCATACTATTGCTGGAAATGTTTACTGGGAAAAGACCGACAGACAACGAATTTGGTGAAGCCATGGGGCTCCGCAAGTATGTTCAAATGGCACTACCAGACACAGTGAGTACTATCATGGACCAACAGCTTCGGATGGAGATAGAAGATGGCGAAGCAGACACTTCAAACTCCAAGCTCAGAATTTCTTGCATCACTTCGATTCTGCAAGTAGGGATTTCCTGTTCGGAGGAGATGCCCATGGATCGTATGTCAATTGGAGATGCTCTGAAAGAGTTGCAAGCGATTAGAGAGAAGTTTCAGAAGCTCCTCTGTAGTGAAGCAGCATAATCATCCCACTGAAGATTCTCCTGCTGCATCCATTAGGTGGTTTGTGCATTAGAGCATGAGATCGATCTGTGTGATTGCATGATATATTATTTTACTACTATTTTCAGGAAGCACCAATATTCTTCCAAATAAACTTGTAGCTCCTTTTCTATTGTTTGTTTGAACTAAAGCGCTTGTGTGTTGATTATACCGATCTTAACAAGGCATATACCCTAAAGAGCTGTGTGCATAATTTTTTTTTCACAAATCTTGTATGCATTTTTTTCTTATTACAAATCTTGTGCGCACAATTTTGTTTCACTAGTATTGTGCATAATTTTATTCACAAAATCTTGTGCACATAATTTGCTTTTTTTAATAAATGTTGTGACTGGGTGTGGTTGTGCCACCGCGCCCAGCTCGCCCTGCCGCCCAAGGGCATCAGCACTGCCAGAGTATGATCTTCGGTGCAAGCTTCAATCCCAACTGAAAGTGAGATGCCGGATGGTCGCCGCATTCAGAAGAAGTACTGACTGTGATCGATCATCCTTCCTGGCTCTTACAGGATTCATCATCGGGCACAAACTGCTAGTGGTGTCAATTGCTCTAAGGTTGCTTGCCTGATAAACTTGGTGGTGCCGTTAGTTACAGGGGAAGAGCAGAAGTCGAGCAGGCCAGGTCCGCCGGTGGTACAACGAAGCTGGAGAGGACGTGCACGACCTCACGCATGGTGGGCCGTGCGTGGCTGCTCTCGCGGACGCAGGATATGCCCACCCTGAAGAGTCGAGCGATCAGGCCGGCGGGCTCTGGCGGCAGCCGGGGGTCAGCCACGGCCAGGATTGCTGCCGTGTCCAGTGGACGAGGTCGATCTCGTCGCCGAAGTCGCCGAGCGGGCGGCGCCCCGTGACGAGCTCCAGCAGCACCACGCCGAAGCTGTACACGTCCGTCTTCTCGTCCACCCGCAGCGTGTACGCGTACTCTTCACGCACCACTTCGAGCGTGTACGCCACGTTCTTCGTTCTTACGAGGAGCGATGTACCCGTACGTGCCGGCGACGATCGATACGTACTCCTCCGCCGCCACCGCTCTCGTTCCGTCGGAGCAGGACGCGCCGCGGCTGAGGAACTTGGCGAGGCCGAAGTCAGTGACGTGCGCCTCCATCGCCGAGTCCAGCAGGATGTTGTTGCATTTGACGTCGCGGTGCAGGATCCTCGGCGAGCACTCGTGGTGCTGGTAGCATAGCGCGCGCGCCGCCTCGGTGGCGATGCGGTGCCTGGCGGCCCAGCTCAGGAGGAGTCCGCCGCTGTCCCCGTGCAGGACCGCGCCCAGCGACCCAATCGGCATGTACTCGTACAGGAGCAGGTTGGCCTCCCCGCTGGACGCGAAGCCGAGAAGTCGGACGACGTTGCGGTGCCGGATGCCGCCGAGCGTGGTCACCTCGGCTCGGAAGCCGTGGTCGCGGCGGCCGGGGCCTGTCAGGCGCTTGACCGCCACCTCCGCGCCGCCCCGCGTCACGCAGCGGTACACGGTGTCGGCACCTCCTCTGCCAATGGCGTTCTCCTCCCTGAGGCACCTGAGCACGTCGTCCATTTCCAGGTCCATGTTCTCGAACCGTGTCATCTTCCACGCCGTAGGCCGCCGCCGATTCGCCGTCTCCCGCCGCGCCCTGCGCACCCATCTTAGTCCGAGGCACACGGTCACCACCATGGCGCTGGCGGTTGGGACGAGCCACAGCAGCGTCCTCGTCTTGAAACGGCGTGAACGCTGCAACGACAGAGTATTCTGTTAGGGAGTTGTTCTTTTCATTTCAGGCATAGCCCCATTCCAAACAGAATACAACGGCTATATATATATTGAGAAACAAATACATCGGCTTATATGGATGCCGCCTCCAACAACCATGGGCCGAGCCCCTACGCCTAACAGGCCAAGCCCGAAAACTCCACTCACTTCCACCTTGAAACAGCCCAACTCCCTGGTTATGTTGCCAGATCCGGATCGAGTTTCAAACTAATCACGTTTTTATTTTTTGAATTCGAGACATGGGCCTCCCCTGGGCCTTACAGCTTCTAGTGCTTCCTCAGTCTAAAGGCCCGCTTCAACAGTTTGAACACGACTATCAACGCTGGTGGCCCTGACGGCATTGCTGAATGCTGATGGCAAACTATATTTTAGCTATGCTTTCAGTGGTAGACGATGTCTCGTCGACAGCGAAGCGCCTGTGGTGACTTTGTGAATTTCGAGATATATCGGCTCAGTCCTTCGGACGTGCTCATAGGGGTAGGGGTTAGCGTACGTGTGTTCATAGGAGTGGACGTCACGTTGTACTGTGTAATCCTAAAAAAAATATATTTTACCCTTTCTGAATTATTGTTGTAGTCTAGTTTTTCTTCTCGAACTATATAAAATCGTTCGAAGTTACCTCACTATCCTAGTTTGGAGTGGCTTTGAAGGTGATGTTGTATCTTTTAAATATAAAAATCGATAAATATTTGACAAGGTTTCTAAACCCTAGAAATGACTCTAAGATTTAAAAATTTCAAAAAAATATATAGAGATAGATTGAGATATGAGAAATTCAAATAAAATATTTAGAGCTCATAAAAATATCACTAGATTCTTAAAAAATTGATTAGCTCTAGGAAAATGAAAAAATATCCCAAAAAATTGAAAAATCCTCGAAACATTCTAATTGATATGTAAATATGTTTTGTAAATGTTTTGCAACAAAAAAACATAATACGTAACCAACACGAAATGCATTGCATGAATGCATTCACAGTTAATCTATGTTGCATTCATGTTCGTTGCATCTAATATTTTTGGCATGAAAAGTTTTTAAAACATGTTTATACATTGATTAGATTATTTTGGAAAATTTCTAGATATTTTCCATTTTCCTAGAGCTTAATCTATATTTTTTAGAATTTTTAAAGAGGTTTTCACTAGCTATAAATACTTTATTTGTATTTTGTATCCTAATCTATGTCTAGATTTTTTTTGAAAATTTTAAAAATTAGAGTTGTTTTCGTTTACAGAACTTATGAAGTATTTATCAATTTTTAATATAAAAGACCAAAACCACTTGAAATCAAACATGGATGTAATTTGAATGGTTTTAAGAGGTCAAGGGGGTAAGATGTCTAGTTTTAAAGTTCGAGGAAGAAAATCAGACTACGGCAATAATTAAGGGAGGTAGAATAGATTTTTTCCAATGCTGATTCCTTTGTTTGATATTGTTGTCATGAAGATTTAATTATGTGTTTTTATTTATTTGCATTTAATACATGTCATCCATGTTCTTACAAAATTTGTTGTTCATAATAAGCCGACGGTATCCGTGAAAACACGCAATGGCGAGTGAGATCTCCATGTGCCTAGCTAGTAAAACCCACACCTAGCAAATTTGTTTGGTTCTTGGCTTGCAAGTTTTTTTGCTAAGCTTAAAAATCAGAATTTGATTATATTGGTACCGCGGCTCTGCATTGGACTTTATTGTTGTGTAGAAATGATGCTGCTTTTAAAAGAATTGTATCTCATTTATTCATGCAAATTATCTTTAGGAGAACTTACTAATTCAGAAAGTGGTTGCAACTGTCTAAAGAGAAAGTGAGAATGCCCCAAGGAATGGTTGTTGGAATTGTTCGGCAAGTTTGGATAGAGGAATAGAAATCCGAGGCTTAAGTTTTGAATCTTTTAGTTGTGTTAGAAACCTTTGCTTTTTGGTGGCGTTCGATATTGAACGTTTATACTAGTTCATTGGTGAATGATGGAGACCAAAATATTTTATTCCTTAATATAAGAGGTAAATACTCATGGAATCTAATGACAGATTTTTGTATTATTGATGACCAACCAAATTTGAACTTTTCGAGTAAGAGGAATCATGTGGTAAAATCACGGAACCTTCAATTTAGGGTGCATGTGGCGAACTGAGCATAGCTCAATTGGTTGGGTTTTCTTGTGATGAAACCTACTCATTCAGGTTAAGTCTTCGACTAAGCATGATTGTTCGCATTTTCCTGGAGTCTTCGACTAAGCATGATTGCTTGTATTTTTCTGAATTTTATTTCAGGATTTTACAATGCTATTCTTTCAGCGGTAGACGATGTGCCCATCGATAGTGAGACGCCCGTGGCGTAACTCATTAGTCTTGAGATTTGCCGGTCCGACTTAGTTCTTCGGAGATGCTCAAAGGGGTAGGGTATATATGTGTGTGCGTTTATAGAGGTGAGCATACCTTATGTATATGAGCGTCTGCATCAGTAGTGTGTCAAAAAAAAACTTAGGATGCACGTATAGTTGCCCTGAAGTGAGAAGAATCAAGTGGCAACTCAATCTATTTTTAAAAAAATACTACTACATATATAGTTCAACATTTTGAATAGTAGATAGTGCTAAAGGTGGCTATGACCTCTCTTGGCCTTTGAGATTTCTTTTTTGCGTAGGCAGTTATCATTAGCTAGGCTTACATAACTGCTCCACCTAGATCTCACCTCAAACTCTACCGTCGATCTTAAACACGGTGATGCAAATGTATAAATGATCGTTTTTGCTCTTATAGTACTTAAGAGTATAGTCTAGCCATGACCTAAAATTCTTATTTATTTTTAGTAAAATGTAAGGATAAAAAGTTATGAATAAAAGGTGTAATAAGCAAACAAAGGTTCAACTAAATTTGAGGATAAAAAATTGTAGCAGCTAATAAAATCAAAATTTAAAAATTAAAATATAGATTAATAATGCCATGAAACAATATGGCTGGGTTGCAACAAGAGGCACCCTATCGTCACTCTTTCCAATCGGCTCCGACCTCTTGTATTTCTTCTTCACCCTGAGAATTCCGGTGACCATTTCTGATCAAATGCTGTTCCGGAATTGGGTTGGATGTTTCCGCTGTACAATGGTCTTGCTGTGGAGGTGTGCCACTTGACGGGGCACTTGCATATTGCTGCCGCAGCTGGTTCCTGTTGTGGCAGTGCTTGATTCTCAGCTCCCGCAGCTGGTTCCTGCTGTGGCGGTGCCTGATTCTCTTCTCCCCCGGCTTGCACTTCCGCTCCTTCTTGACGTGGCCAGCACTTGCTGCTCTGGATGTTGCAGTGAGAAAGAATGACCCATATGTGCGTTATGAACTCGCCGCCAGTTGCAAGGCATTTCTTGTGAGCCGCGGCGTTCCAAGAGGGAGCAGTGTGCAGCAGTATATCGGCCCATACCTCTGCGAGGACCTTCCAACGAACTTTTTCATCTCTGAACTGGTGAATCAGACACCAAGCAAGCCATGCTGCTTTCTCAAGCATCAAATTGGGATGCGTCTCTGCTCTTTTCTTTTTTCTGCCAATGGCATCTAGGATGTCTTGTGGCTGTTGCAGATTCCCTTCTCGAATCAGCGTTCTGTATATGCTCTGCAGGGTGTCGCAGTCACTCAATACATCTGAAGCCTCGTCGATGGTGCTTCGGAATATGTCATCGGCGGTTAAGTAACTGTCAGGTAGCAAATCTGGCTCTTTAATTAGCTTGCAGCGCTTCTTCAATTCTGCCTTTCTTTATAACATACTGCTGGGAGGAGAAACAATTGAGGGCAGCTTTGATCGCACACGGTACCTCGGAAAGGGTTAAGCTTGTGTTGTAGTGCTGGGCAAGCTCAATCTCATAGAGGCTTGTTGCTATATGCCACACAAGAATGCTGTGGCACCATGATCGGAGCTGGAAAGTCCACTCGAACTGCCTGTGATGAATCGGCAGCTCTGAACTCAGTGAGTTGTGCTCAAGATCTAGCGAGCAGAGTGACTTGAGAACGGCGGCTTTCACTTCTGGCGGCAGCTCTATTGCGTTGCCTACTTTCCCACCTTTAGTTTCTTTCGGGACCAAGGCCTTAGATTGAAAAAAATTTCAAACCGATGAATAGTACCACTTTCGTCTTATTTGGCAAACTTTGTCCAATCGTGGACCAACTAGGCTCAAAAGATTCATCTCGTGATTTCCAACTAAACTGTGTAATTAGTTATTTTTTTTACCTACATTTAATGCTCCATGCAAACGTCCAAAAATTAATGTGATGGAGAGAGTGAAAAAATTTGGAACTTTGAAGGGAACTAAACAAGGCCCAATCCGAGAGTTAAATAGTGAAGAATGTTCCAAGGATTGTAACCATATGACTGGAGGAATTCTTACTGACCAATCTTATTGTGCCAACGGTGCACGATCGCGCATCTTGGTGTGCACAAGATCCGAACCAAGAACTCCCACAGGCGCTGCGGGATACACTTGACGCTCTGTGATGTGTATTCGCACAGCAGCAACACCTTTGTCCAGTCGGACAACATGTAGGTGACCATCTTCCAAATCTCCTTCAAAACGATGAAGCCCATGAATATCCATGTGATGATGAGATCAACATTGAAACCACGTACGACGTGGGCAGTTTCCCCCTCCTTAGGCTTGTAGAGCTTGTGGATGTCCCTTCCAAGCCAAGCGATGAGAGCAATGGTAAGCAGAGGATGCCAAGAACAAAGGAGAGGGAAGCCACGCCAGAATAGGACGGGATATCTTGTGTAGAAGTAGTCGTTGAGGAATGCTAGCTCCAGCTTGGCAATTCTGAATGTTCTCTCGACGTGCTGGTCAGCCGGGGCTCCGCTGTTCTTGCCTATAATTTCATATATCAATCTTCTGGTGTGAGTGATGCTATCAATGGGCAGCGGTAAGTCATC